ATCTACATCCTGTCACTTTGGAACCTTTGGTAGAAGTTTCCAAGAAGGCCATTAGAATAGATTTAGCAAACATCTCAGTAATTTAAAATATTAATGGTGAACATGTGTTGTAACTGCAGTTAATTAAGCGTTGATAAAAGAATCTGAGCATAAACAATTACACACTCCCTAGAATATTTCCTAAGCAGCACCAACAATAGCGGCTCTGCCGTACACAGACTGAGCTGGTCTGCAGGAACGAGCAGTGTCTGAGTCTTCTTGGTGGGTTTGTGGTGAYGATTCCTGCTTTTGTTTCCACTGCCAGCTGCAGTGACTATGCTCTCAGCCTGGTTCTCAGAGCAKGGATTTCCCAGGGGATGCTCTTAACCCTTTTGAAAGGATTAGGGTTGAATTATGATGGCAAAAGTGGATTAAAGACAGTGATGGCACGTGAGGGAATGTTTGATGTGTGTTCATGCAACACAGGGTGTGAATGGGCTGGGTTGTGACTCCTCAGTCTGTACACACACTGCACACTGTTATCTCACATGACATTGTGATTGCAGGTGTGATTACCACTYGCAGAGGAAAGATCAGTGTTGGGAACTTTCAAATGCTTCCTAACAGCGCAGCAGAGGCTGCAGGACCCTGCGCAGAAATGCTCCTGGGAAGAACGAGGAAACTTGAACAGGCAGATGCCTATATTTGCTCAGTATGTGTTACCCTGAGCAAATTAGATTGACAGTATTTTAATTGGATGGATAGTATTTTAAAAATAAAAACAGTAAGTGCTTGCTTTTGAAAGAACTTACTGCAGCGTGTGATTGGACCCTGTTGTTCCTCAGTCAATGGCTGTTAAGAAAGTAGACAAACTCTTGCTTCACGGCTCCCAGGGAGGCTCTGCTGCTTTCTCATACAGAGGATCAGGGTTTAAAAGCTGAACAAGGTGTCAAAACTCCCATGTGTTTGGTGTTACAGAGGGAAGGTGAAAATCAGTAGCTCTTAAATGCTATGTTCTTGCCCAGGAGCCTGTGTGAGACAAAAATGCCACAATGAAAATYCTTGGAATGGAAATAAAACTTTGGTTGGAGACAACACTGATGCTAGAGAGAGTGTCATGGTGAATTGCTGCATTTCTGCAGATTGGGAGGGGAGTGAAGGTTCAGGGAACATATGGGAACATCTTCCCAGTTGTCTGTCTGAAGTTGGGGAGTAGAGCAGAGTACTTGGCCCTGGTTTGCTTGTGTTTCTTGGAAAGGGGGTGCTRGGGCAACGGTGATGTTGGGATGATCTTAGCACTGTGATTAACTATGGAAGAGAAATGGCATTCCCCAGGGAATAAAGAGAACCAGAAACTGATGCTAAAGCTATTTATATTCTAGATTATGCCAAGAAAAATATTTTACACTTAKCTTAATATCATAATTGCAAGTCCAAAACCATCACTGCTAGCTTCTAAATACAGAATAGAATCTGGGAGGAGGCAGTAAGAAAATATATGTTTTGGCTTTATGATTGCAGCAGAGAAATAGCCAGAATTCATCATGGGCTTGGACAAAACCAGGAGTCTTWAGAGAAATAATACTTCTAAGTGGTCTTTAGACATTCAAATGCTTAAAGAGCCTATAAACCACATAATGTTAACTGTAGCACAGATGGCCACTACACTTTGAGCAGTTTAAGCTGCTCTTTTTGCAGTGAAGCACTGATTTTAAACTGTCTTTGGAACACAGAGTAAAAACTTCTGTAATGGAGAATCCCACACATGCAAAAAGATTTTYAGCAYGTGCCCCGGCCTCTGAACTTGCAATACTACTGGTGTCACTTCATGAYTGGGRACWGTTGCATGACTGTGCACTGTGACTYAAGTCTTACMTGGTGCCAGGAGCACAACTGGARAACCTTTGGATTCCATCCTCTCTATTCTGTGCCCTGATAAAYAGAAGATGTCTGTAAAAGTATTGGGCTTTCAGTTCAGCTTGGGGTTTGGTCTTTAAATATTGAAATTATTCACTGGTGATGCATTTAGGTATGACCATAGGATCAGTGTAAATCTCAATTTCATGGTTGACACATCTTGCTCGCGTACGATTTCATCCCTGAAAAAAGTCCCCATGTAACATGGAAAGCAGTATGGACTTAGAGAGGCCTTAGAGAGGCACCTTTCCCTTATCTCAGTAACAGGGAAAAAGACCTATAGTGAACACACTTCCCAAGACTGTTACAGAGCACAGAAATAGCCCATTTTCACAGATAAGGAGAAATCTGGAGCCTCAAGACTGAGGAAACTTTTCTTCTCTACCAAAAAGATTTCTCAGTTTATGCATTGTGTGCATATATTCCATACATGTACAAGTGTGCAACCTTAAATAAAAAAACAACAAACTCACCCTGTGCTTATGCTGAAGACAGATCTGATCAACTCCAATACTAATCAAAGGCTGGGGGAAAGTTATTCTCTCCGGTTACAGCTCAAATTGCAAGAACAGCCATGGAAGTGACCGTGATGCTTGATTTCACCTTAAAGTAGAAGTTAAAGTGAGCTCAGCAATAAGACCTCATCTCTTACTTGTTTGACTCCTCTGTACGTAAGGCTCTGCAGGCAAAATCCCTGACTCATATAACTGAAGACTCCTGAATATCCCTGCAGCTGGCTGGAGGAGCACAGACTCTAGGACATTATTGTGTGAGGAAATTATGGAAGAAATTCTCTGAATTTTTGGGAAGACAGATACTATCTCTAACACTATTTGCTTTAATCTTGATGAAGAACCACTTGACATGAGATTTACTGGAAACAGGTCATTAATGTGGTTAGTCTGATCTACCTCAGATGGTTTAGAGCTAAATCTTTGTTTGGACTGAATTGTCTGTCACACCCACCGTAATACCCCCAATCTGACTTGACATTTTCATCTCTTCCTGTAAGTTCTGGTGCTATGGTAGGTGTGCAGACCTGTCCTGGCTGATGCATTCAAACTTGAATATTCATCTACACTATCTGGGGATCACTGAATTAACTGAGCCTATAACTTTTTCCTTAGTCTGTTTCTCTCTCTAACAAGGGAAATAATTCTTTCCCTTCTAAGGAAAAAAAAAAAACCCACTCTTGTTAAGATTGCCAGCATTAAGTCAGAGACTTAAGAAAAGTACCTGAGGTAACAGCAGAAATTCCTGGTTTGTTTGGGGTGGTTTTTTGTTATTTTGTGAAATATTGAGGTCTAAAACCTCCCTTCCATAGTCAAGTGAATGATGGCCACAACTGGTGTCCTAGGTAACTTATTAACACACRCAGATGCAGCAATGGCTTCACTTCAGCAAATAAGGCAGCTTTTGCTCCTTATRAAGTTTTTGATAGAACTGGACATAGTAGTAAGGCAGCCATCCTTTGTGTTTGCAGCGAGCTATTACAATTCCCCAGTTCTTGGAATGGCACTGGGAATGGATTATAGGCACTTATTGCTCAAGAAATCCAAGCAGGGAATTATATGTGGGTTAAACTCAGGTATTCTGGAGTATTGCCCAATCTCTTCTACGTTCCACAAGGGAAAGGGTTCATAAAGGAAAAAGTGTTTGATGATATATTTTAAGAGTTCCTTTTCTTTCCACATCACTGGAGAGTGCAGATGTCAACTTCACAGAATATGATTTGTAAAAATGAAACTGTTGTAACTTCTGTGTTTACAAGAAAAACCCAGATGAGGTTACATAAAATCAAAGAATGGTTTGAGTTGGAACRGACCTTAAAGACCATCTAGTTCTAATCCCCTGCCCAYGGCAGGGACACATTCCCCTACAGCARGTTGTTCAAAGCCTCAAACASTCTGTTGTCCMRCCTGGCCTCAAAWGCTTACAGGGATGGGGCATCYACAAYTTTGGGGGGAAACCTCCTCCRGTGCCTWRCCAGCCTCRTAGTGAAGATTTTCTCATAATGATGTTGCCATTTCTGAGCTGCTCAAGTTAATCCCTACAACAGAAGACATGTGTCAGAGCAGCTATTGCTGAACACATAACAGTGCACATTCATAATGTCSATATATGGGAAATTTTATATTTCATTAAGTTGCTATAGCTCTGATTGACATATTGGAGTACAAAACAAAGGACCATATTAAAAAAAAGTCTCCTCCTTCCTGTATTTTCTTCTAAGTTTCTCCTCCTTGGAGGTGGACACACATTTCAAACCTGTTCCTGTGTGTTTTCCAGGAGTATTTTCCAGTAGTCATCCCCTGCTTTCATGGAACTGGCTTTGTGAAGGCAAACAGGACACAAGTATGATGGTGTAACATCTTCCCCCATTGAGGTAAAAGTCAATGTAAATACTCTCAACAGGAGTAATGTGCTTGGGCATCTTGATCCCACAGCTGCCTTCCACACACTGCAATCAGCTTTGGTCAAGAGAAATACCCTCCTTCTAATGGAGAAAGCCCTGGCTGCAAGGAGAAAATTGAATGAGTTGTCTACTAGTCAACAGTCTCCCATCTGAATTTTTAAGAATAGAGTTTAGTGTAACTTGTCTTTAACCCACACCGCAATAACAGTTTAAATCTTGCGTAGCTTCTACACTGAAACTACTTGTAAATAATTAAAACATGTTCATTTTCATACCACCAACCTTATTTTGAATCTGAGTACCATGAGTGTGGAGAACACTGAGAAATCCAGGCCAAGCCTTAAAAGCATTCTAAATGACTGAAGTCACTATTTAGTCTAACTTTCCTTTTTTGAAGCAGGAGTGCCAGTTGGCATCTTCTGTAGTGTGTGTTCTCTTCATACCTTTGTATGATTCAGTTACCAGTAACTAAAATAATCACAGAGCTGCTCCCCAGCACAATGCATGGACAGAATCCTAACTTTAAAATGTGTCCACTCAAGCAGATAACCATGAGGGACTCTTCTCCTACGTGGAAACATAAAAGAAAAGAGTGCCAGGAAAGACAACAATGTTTTCTAGGAAAAAAATAATAGGCAATTCTGCAGAAAAAAAAAGGAGTCTTAAATTCAGGTCTTTATACTGCTATTCCTTTTCCAAAGATATTTTCCCTGAAAAAGAGCTCTGAAGCCCTGCTGAGGATGTAAGAGGCACAGAATTGTAGCAATACCACCTTCCCCTACCTGTAAATTAAACTTACATTATGCATATTCTTGAKACTGAGATGTGGAAAGGCCTGTCAGGGAGAACAACAGACTGGAATCATTCCCTGCTCCACTCCCATTCCTGTGAGAGCCAATTTGGGTGATTCAGTCCAGACTCTCTCTGTTTATGTCCAAGAGATGTTTGACACCTCAACAACTGTAGAATTTCCAAGCCTTCCTCACGCTGTGTATTCTGGTGTTTTCCTAACTGTACTGGTTTGTCAGCTTTCACTAATGCCTCATTTGTCTCCTTTGTGTCAGCTCTGCTGCTTCTGTTCCTCAGCATCTTTCTGATCTGTGTTTATTCATTGGTAATACATTGTCTTTCACTTTAGATAAAAGGCAAACATTTGTAAAAAGCATGACCTCTAACAGAACTGTAGAAAGCAACAGAATGTTGATAATTCTTTTCTTGCCCTCATCTGGACTCTCCACTTCATCAGCTCCTTTTTTCAAGTACAATGGTCCAAACAGAAAACAAAGTTTTATCAGTGGTGAGTGAAAAAGGATTGCTTCATATATTTCATAGGATATATCATGCACTAAAAATCACATATGATGGCTGCATTTATTTTTGAAATAGCAAGATCCTGACTGAGCAGCTGAAACTCTGTAACCAGCCCTTCCCAGGCCTCTACCGTGGAAGCTCTTGCTTATGTACAGCACCTTACAATAGCTCTTTGGGGAAGGAAAAAAACCACCAGTAAACAAGCACATTTAATTTTGCAAGTAAAGAGTATAAAAACTAAGTCATAATTAAAAAGGCCATTTATATTTTATATAAAAAGCCAGTTATTTCAAGTTGTGCACAATCAATCAAGGGGAACMGTGCCACAGTGTAATGAGGAACAGATTCTATCCATAATTGGGTCACCTAGGAACAAGTTGTTACATACAAATATACATATCAGTACCATACTTAATATACTTCAGAAAAACTTAATTTATCCAAATAGCTGCAGCCCCTTTTGCATTCTCATAGTCATTGTTTCCTGATGTTACTTTGCAGAGTCCTTTGTAACCTGGCTATGTTGGCATCCAAGGCTGCTAAGCTATTTTTAAAGTCCTCTTCATCTTGAGAAGTAAATGTTGAGAAAGAAGATGCACTCCAGTCAGACCTYCTTGATAAATCATCAAATGAAATGCAACTAACATCAGCTACTTTACTGCCTGTTCTCTGAGAAAYCCCTGTTGGAAATGGCATTGATGCACGAGGGTACGCACCACACTGATATTGGTCTGGTATATCCATGAAATCTTTTGCAGCTCCACTTGAAATGCCTCTTAGTCTTATTTGGACTTTGTCTCCTTCTGGCTTTGTTTTATCCCCTGTAACTTCAAGCATGTTTTCCACAGCATTWAATTTATCCAGTACAGCTGGATCCTCATAGCCATACTGCTGCACAGAGCTTGGGAGCTCACAGTGGTAATCCAACCTCTTACAGGCCTCTCTGCTCTGGGGTAGCACACCATTTCTTTCACAGACTGGCTGCTGTTTTTTAGAGGCACTGCTAGTCAGTGGAATATAAATTGTCTCATCCAGCTTGGTTTGGTCATCTATTAAAGTCCCAGAATCACTCACTGTTTCTGTGTCTTGGTTCAATGGAACTTGTACTCTGGGAGCTGATGTTMCTTCTTCTGTGAATGTACTGTTGGTTTTAGTTCCTTCAGCAGCAAACTTTTCATAGGACAGATTTTGCATTCCTACTTCTCCAATTTTATTTGAGAATTGAAGATCTGTATCTACCAAAATATGATCCATTTCTAATTTTTTAAGGTAAGTCATTACCGAAGTACTCCCAGGAAACAGCTCAGGTTGCATCTGCTTTTCATGGTCTTCCAAAAGAGACTTGGAGAGARTTTTTTCAGGTTTGGGTCTAACATTGTTCCCTGTGAGGTCAGACAGAAGCTTGGCCATACTTCCCTGCAAGGTTCTGTCAAGGYAAGATCAATCACACAGATTCAAAATCAGTCACTAAAAAAATAGTTAAAAGCTTTTCTATAGAAACAAAACATCAGATTTATCAGGCTATGGCAAAGTTGCAATGCAGTTGCTACGTATTATCATAAAATGCAGTACAAGCGTGAACCAACTCCCAAGTTTTTTTAATTCTTCTTCAGCTCAATGTGGCTAAAAAGTAACTAAAATAACACAACCCAAKGAAGTTCTCCAGATTATTCCTGGTGTATCTCTTTTGAGCAGCACAATATTAAACAAATTGATGCCACGAAACTGTTACAAAGCAGTCASAAGCAGTTATCAAAATGACTAAGAAAGATGTTCCAAATTATTCTTCTCAATGCAKCTAAATAAAAAACACATAATAAAAGAAATAATTCTTCTAATTTACTGCTTTGTGCATTAAAAGAAATAAACGTTTAGATGTTTATGTCTGTAGCATACACACAAAAACATGTAATATGACATCATTATACCACCACCTGGTGGTCARCATAGCAGTCACCAAAGTGTCTAAACTTCAGGTGCTGAAGAATTTGAAATGTCTATTAAAAATATTCTGCCRTTCCAATCAGTCACAACTATAAATATGACACACAACAATTTTGTTTCCTGTGCACAACATATCCGAATCAATTGTATATACAAACCGCTATGCATCTGCAAAAAAACCTTTTTGTGTCTCACAGCTTGCCACTATTTTCAGCATAAAAGAGAGTGATAAAATAAATTCACAGCAATAATTCTTACTGGTAGATCTGCCATTAAGAGTTAAGACTTCACATAAGTTATGGCAGATAGTATTTTACTTTACTACAGAACTCAAGTAATGGAATATAACAACTCTGTTTTAGCAAAATTATAGCAGCATTGTAACAAAATGAACTGCAAAGAGAAGTCTTAGACTATGAGACATCCCACCACCAAAATACTAAGATTACAAACCACAGTATGAAAAAAAAATTCCAAAAACCCTGAAGAATAAGAAAGAAAAAAGATTTTCAAAAAAGAAAAACCATGTCAGGAGGCCAAAAAAAGCTTAGCCAATAGTACCTGGTTAATTCCCGCAGTCTCTTAACTTCTGCATCACGCTGACGGAGAGTTATGCCCAAAATCTTATTTTCTTTCTCTGAAGCTTCCAGCTTAAATTGAAGGCTCTTCACGTTTCCTAAAGCCTCTTCCACTTCTGAAATGCCAACAAGAACTTACATAATTATTTCTTCTAAGTTTTAAAATGCTAAACAAAGAATAACCAGATTGAAACACATACCAATCTTGAGCTTGGTAGAGTGAATGTCATAATGCTGTTTGTTTTCGAGCAATTCTTCTTCTTTATCTTGAATACCTTTTGCAAGATGTTTGTTTTCTTCTTTCTGACTTTCTATTATTTTCAGTAGTTCTTCATTTTTAGCCTGCAGAGAATCAAGGCCTTTCTGCGATTCTTTCAATTGACTCTGGAGCATCATATTCAAGGACTGCAAGGAAACCACTACCAAAAGCAGAACATAAAAAGTTTAAATGTTTTTTGTGGTAGCTTGAATTTCTAAACCAAACCAAGTTTTAAAATAATCTTAGTAATATGAATTTTGGTTACAGATAGAGGATGGTTTTTTTTTTAGCAGCAAGATAAAGCTCAAGCTTTCTTCTAAATTRTCTCATCAGTCATCTTTCTTATAAGAGGCACATAATGAAAAATAATCTGCTTGGCAACTGAAGAGMCAAGTCCTGCTATGTGGAGTTTAAAAAGGCCCAACAATCCATGCAAATGCAGTTGCATGATTAGATTCACACTTGGTTCAGCTATTACTACAGGCCACAATATATACAGACATATGAAACTACAGATATATAAATAAAAAATAACCACAGATATATAAATAAAAGGTATCTATTGAAATAAAGCTTTAACAAGTATGCCCCTAACAAGCAACATTATCAGTACTTTACATTCATAGYTGCAGCTCTGTCCAGATGTCTTCTCACTGTTTTCTTGTTGTCCAAGTTGCTGGTTTAGTATTCTTAGTCTCCTAAATGTGAATTGTAAARAAGCACAAATTCAGAAATTTTAGAATAAAGACTGCACTTTAATTTAGTTYTGTGATAAGTTGCTTTTGAGAATTAGATGTCAGGTAATATTTCAGAAATATAAACAAATCTTAATAACATATTCTTCTTACATTCTGGTACTCCTTTCCAAATACCTGGTAAATAGCCCTGTTCTGAAGTYAAGTGCTACCCAGTAATGTCAGAACACACCTGAAATGAGAGACACTTTTGCATTTGAGAATAAATTCCAGAAAGAATATGAGCAGGCTAACTATCTTGATACTGCAGTCTTCAGAATGATGTATTGACTTCATCCCGTCAACGGGCCCAATCATGAGGTAACTGCTGCTACTGAAATATCAATCATGCTCTGTGTTAATTGTTTCTTGTTAAAATATTTGGCCTTATCAGCACACTTTCTAATTCAGAAATACTGCACAGACAGGAAGGGAACCACAGGTGCACCATAACAAAGGCAATTTAAACTAGAGCAGTTAAAGATGCTTTAGGTGCACGTGCAGTAAGCACAGGCTCACTGAGGGTTACCCACCGGCGCAGCTGAGCGTTCTCACTCCGCAGAGGCTGCAAAGCCAGTGCTATTTCAGCCTGGATATTCGTACTTCCCACTACAGCTGGGAGCAATGATATGGAGTCTTCTATTTCATCCATCAACCTTAACATTTCTGAGTCATCTGCAAGAGGTGAGGGAAAAAAAGAGACTCCGTAAGCCTATAAACCTGTAATACAACTAATATTTTACATGTGATTAAATAATCTGCAAAGTGATCTGTTTGAGTTTTTTCCTTCAAGAGAAGTTMATCTTTATATTTATTTAAGATTKATAAGCTTGACTGTGAAAACTATRCTTTACATCCTTAACAGAACATAAYGCACCATCTTKCCAACCTGCCTTGGTGGGACTGCTTTYGCAACCTGTCCACAMTGGAACCTTTCTCAGAGGGAAGCTCTGTGYATGGAATAGCAACAATCTTCACCTTGCTGTTATGACAAGGTTAAAAATATTACAAATCTAAATTAATACTTATCCAGAGTGAATCCTGAAGGCTTTACAGTTGTGGAAAACCACAGTAAAATGTCACATATCATCTGACACATACAACTTCCAGAAACRGAAGTGCTCACTCCTTTAACAGAGCTCATGTTATTTGTATGCARTAAGTTTGCTGCACAATGAAAATGTTCTCACCTTGATCTGTTATCAGTGCTCTGAGCTCACCCAAAAGATACTTTACAGTCCTAACTTTATGGGCTGTTTCTTCTGGCCTTTCTTTCATAGATTTTAGAACTTTCTTCACATAACTTGTCTTAGAGCTTGTATCTCTCACTGGAGATACATCAAGTACATTCAATTCATCTTCTTCACTTGAGGACACCATGTCCTCACTGTGCTCTTCAGGAGTGTCTTCCTCTGTGTCACAGGAGCCACCATGTTTCACTGGACAGTGATGATGGCACCTCTGTTCAGTCCTGCCATTCAGCATTTCATGGGATTGTAACAGRGCTTGTATGCACCGTATCAAATCTGCTTCTTTTATCTGGTGCTCTTGGCTTGGGGCCATCTCTCTGCCAGAAGATGTTGGSATCAATGCAGGCACTGAAGGGGTTGATGCTCCTGGTGATGTACAAGGGATCACACCAGGAAGAGCATTGCCAGACTGTGTTTTTGCAGCAGCAGCAACCATGGGGCAAACCACAGGTCCTCCCATCTCTGGCACAGATTCATTGGCACTGTCTGTAGGAACACCCTGAACAAAGAAAATTCAAAGTAAACAAAAAACTAATGTAATTTTTAAACCTTTAAGAAAAAAAAAAACCTGAACAGCACTACCCTTGCCTGACTCAATGTAGACTTCTTCATTCTTTGCTAATCATAAGAAMTACCAATTAATAATTGGATAGTTTTCCTGTATAATAAGGAGTAATTAAAATATAAATTTGATTTAGATTACCTTTATGTAAACTGTTACTGGCAACATTAAAGCACAGTTCTTTTTCAACTATAAAAAAAAAAAGCTCAGCAGTTTCTTGAATCCAATCAGAACAGAGAAGGAAAAAAAAAAGGACAACATTGTTACCTTTCAGTATTTTAAGGAGATGAATTTCTTATAAGTCAAGGTCATCACTAGCTATACATGGACTGCCTGCAGATGGAAGGTAAGTCTACATTCTTACAGATTCAAGGTGGAAGCCCTTTGTCACATTTCCCAAAGTGGCAGCTGGTATTCTCTATCACCTCTATTCTACATCCTGAAATCCACAGGCATTTTAACATGTGGCTCTAAGACAATACAGGGTGTCTGAGAAAATAATTGCCTTGATCATTGGCAGGGAAARCTCCATATGATACACGATTTTTTCTATGAGGAGGTGGTTAATGATCCTAGTGTGCATTACTGAGAATGTAATTAACAGTAATCAATAATTTCCTGAACTTTCCATGGTTGCTGTCCGTTACAGAATTCCCCAGGCAGAAACAAAAAGCCAGGTAAAATGCTTCTAATTTCATGTTTTGGTGTCTACATAAAATGCGTTTTGAATAGCAGTATTTTCTCTGTGCATCGCTACCATTTGAAATACACATTTTTTTAAAAGGAAAATTACTAGGAAAACTGACACAAGGAAATGTATAAATGAATAGACAGTGCTAATTAAATGTTTAATAATAGAATTAAACTTTTACTTACTGACTGAGTGGATAAGGGATTAGCTGAATGCTGCAGGGACAGTGTTGATGTGGAGGCAGGTAACTGGTAATTCAAAGCTGTAACATTYTGACACCCTAAAAGAAAACAACACTCACAGATCAGGGCAATTTGGGGCAAAACTCATGCAGTTARATAGTCAGCTCTACATTAATSGTTTCACTAACCTTGATTCGAGGTAGGAGAAGGAGTTACAGTAGGAATTTCATTACTCTTCTGTGGGGATTGGCCAGTTATCAGAGACATCTGAGTTTGCACATGCTCGTACAATTTCTGATATGCCACAGGAGAGTGCTCACTGCAAGGCACATGAATTGATGGAACCATCTGATTTGGTACTGCACTGGAAAGTTCCTTCTCAGCAGAAGGTGTGGTAGATGAGGCAACCTTTCTATTCAATATTGGCACTGTAGAGAAAGAAAGAAAAACTCCAGCTGAAATTGCCTGTCTTCTTGATCTACACAAACCTATTTTATGTCTGTCTGGCAGGTTCCCTAGAAAATRGAAAGAAAGACTCTATGGTCCAGGATTCCAGTCAGATTTTGATTCAMCAGCAAATGGATCCATCAATTTTTAATTCCAGGTAGAGCATCCTAAACCAGTTAGACAGGAAACTGTCCTTGAATGAAGCACAGAGACTTAACCCTACAGAAGGCCAGTTCTAAAACACAATTCTTAAAATCTTTGCTTAGGTGTAATTAAAYTGTAATTTCACAGTGCTGGGAAGATACCACCTATGTGCTCACTTCCTACACTTCTCAATGGGAATTCTCCTACATGCTCATCTACAGGCCCCACCTACTGGATTAGAAATCACACAGAAGAAGCAGAATGGAGGGAGAAATTATAATAAGTGAAATATTTCCCCTGGGGGCAACTCAGCTTACAGCACTCCATCTACCTTTCCATTCAAGTGCTTTGGCTACTAAACCATTTGAGATCTTGCTGTTTCYTGCAACACTTCCCTGTTTCCAGAAATCATTCTTTGAGAAAAGCCTGTCTGGACACTGAACTCCAGACCAGTTTTTAGCTATGGCTCCTAAACTGAGACCAAGCACTGCAAGGCTTCTCTGTGCAAGAGAAATAAGGAAAGGGTATTACCATTCTCCTCCACACTTCCTACCAGTTGTAAACACACTCAACTTTCTTCCTTGTACATGAAGTTTAAACATCTATGTATTTCAGTATTGTAAAGTAAATACTTATGGTTTCTAAAAGGCAATAATACATCCTTTTGTGGATTCAACCCAGGATCAACCTATTAACAAACAGCAACAGTTATCTGAAGCCTTGTTGCATCTCAGTWAGTTGAAGAGTCTCTCAATGCTGTTTGAATAAAAAAAAAATCAAGTCCAAGAAAGTCCACTTACGAATTTGTTTTTGAACAGGGACAGGAGTAATGATTCTTTTTAAYCCTTTCTTCTTGGAAGTATTCCCTTTGGTTAGCAAAGGCTTGGAAGTAACATTAAAGGTAGTTCTTTTCCCAGGTTGTTTATGGACAGTCTCCCTTCCTAGTATTTGGTGAAAGAAAAAGTGGTCAACAAAAAAAAATCAAGAGAGTATTACAAAACCTAAAAGTCCAACTTGTATTTTCAATAGGTACAACCTGTAGCTTCCTTTTGTAAGATATTCTTCAGTAAAGCTGCACAATGATCAAGTCCATTATGAATAGAATCAGCCTGCACAAAGAACACTGCAGTCAGAAAATAAGCACCACTGTTTTCTTTCAGTAAACCACAATACTGTTTTAAAGGTGAGTGTACCCCAACCTGTCACCTGACACCACTCATAACCAAAAAATGGTATTATTTCCCAAGTACTACTCTGCAATTACATGGAAGCTTACAAACATGCAGATTCTGCAAAATAACTAAATTGTGTTGTTGCAGCCATGTCCATTTGCTAGGTTTTACATTAATTACACATTTTTTTTTTATTCTGATTTCCATGTACAGTTCAACGATTATCTACAGCCTACTTGTATTTTGGAGACAACTGGTTCAGGAATACACCAAACACACTGCTGCAGCACTCATTCTGTGCTACTCTTTCTTTCCAGCACAAAATCTTAACAAGGGCAGCTGCTGTTCTGTGAGAGCCAACCCTTGTCCATACACAGCATATTTGTGTTTGCAAAATGCATCCTGTGCCTTGAGATTTGTCAGAGCCAAACTCACTGCTCARGAAGCACATTTCCTCCTATCTGCAAGACACAGCACAGACACTCTTGCTTGCATTGCAGGAGCAATTTCAGGTTCAAATGCRAATTAATTAGGATCTAAATTAATCTGGCTTTCTTCTATTACTCAAGATATTCCAATTTCCCTTCTCTTTAGATAACATGGATGACTGTGTTAAAAAGTAATTTAATTACCTGATTGTCAGAGTCAGTGGAATAGAATTCTACATCAGAATATCCTTTTCTTAAGCCAAACCTGAAAAAGTGAAGTTCCCTGTTTATTCCACATCCTTAATATAAAACAAAGTTTAAAAAACTTTCTTTCATTTAAGAATAACAAACAAAAGAAAATTAATTTTATCATGAGACAAAACAACTTTCTCTTTCTGAAAACTTTGCATGGCTGCAACAAACATGTTAAGCAGATAACAAGAGTTTATATCAAAGAAGAATTCTGACTCCATTCAATAGTCTTACAGCTACTAACTATATAAATTCAATCTTTTGTAAACAAAACATGCAGAGTGAGATCTCTATTTTTATATGCAATATTTCTATTCAGTTTGTGCCTCTGTTTCATGGGCTGCTTAGAACCTGACCATACYGCCTTTCAGCTCAAAATGTTTTCTATCTACACACATGGGATTTTTGTTCAATTGTGAGGTATGACAAGTATAAGGCTCACAAATGCTCACACATACACTCAATTTTAAACAGTATTGGCAAATAAGGTCTTACTGTTTTCTTCCAGTTGTTAGTTTAGCTGCTCCTGTCAGCCTTCCAGAAGACAGAGCCTGTTGGATACAGAAATACACTGATTTTCATGATGTATTTTCACAACACTCTTGAAGACAACCATTGCCCATCAATTCCCAGAACTTTTGCAAAGGCGGATCAGTTCAAGACAAGTTTCAAATTCCCTGGTCAAGGAGGGGGCAACTGCTGTCAGCTGGGCCTAAGACTGGTGGGCTTCATTTCACCAAACGTGAATTGACAGCAGGATACTTTATTAATTTCCACTGCTCTACAGACACAGTCCCTCACTTAGGGACACTCCAAGGGCTGATGTACAAACGTGTTTCAGCTGGAAACCATGCTTGAAAAATGCAGATTTGAACTGTGGGGACTTAAAAAATCAACTATGGCCAGGACACACAGCACAGAAACACCACAGTGGAAGAAATACTCTCGCACAGCCCCAGAATCACAGCATAGGTCAGGCTGGAAGGGAACACAGTGGCTCAAGCAGAGCCATCCCAGAGCATATGGCACAGGCTGGCATCCTGACGYTCCTGAATATCTCCAGTGAGGGACACTCCACACCCTATCTGGATAACCTGTTCTTCCTCACATTCAGGTGGAACTCCATGTGCACGAGTTTCTGCCCATTGCCCCGAGTCCTGTTGCTCGGCCCCACCGAGCTGAGCCTGGATCCAACCTCTGACACCCTCCTTTATCTATTTATACACATTGATAAGGTCCACTCTCAGTCATCTCTTCTCAAGGCTGAAAAGCCAAACCTGATTCAGCCTTTCCTCGTAAGAGATATTCCAGTCCGCAACCATCCTCTCTGTCCTCCGCTGGAACCCCTGTAGGAGCTCCACGTCTCTCAGGTAGAGAGACAGGCCCAGAACCGCACACAGCCCTCAGGACCACCGTCAGATGGCTGAACTGCAAGCCGGGCTCGGCCCCGGAAGGCCAGGAATCGTTACGCGGACCGCGGGAAGGCCCCTCGCACGCCCCCTCACCCCCTCCGAGCACACTCGCGCTCTGGCGGAAAGGTCCCGAACGAGGACCGAGTGCCACCCGCTGCCCCCGCGCCCCCGGCCCTCACGCACCTTGCGGGGCCGCGCAGCTCCCGGCGCGGCCATATCCCCATCCCGGCCCCGCCCCGCCCGCACGGACCAATCACCACCCGGCCCGTCCGCGAGGGGCGGGGTTTATATAGGGGCGGAGCTAACGGCCCCGCCTCGCCGCGCGCCGGCGGGCGCGGGCGCGGGAAGAGGGAGGAGAGGAGCTCGGGAACGCGCCCGGGGATTGGCGGAGAGCGGGCGCGGAGGARCCAATGGGCGGCGAGAAGGGAAAAGGGCGGGGCTGAGGCGGGCAGTGAGGGGGTGGTGCGCGCGCTCTGGCCCCGCCCCGYCTCTCCCTGAGGGAGCGCCCCTTCCAGAGCCGGGAATTGCCGTCCCTTTGCTCTTCTGCGACCGAGAGTTGGCTGGTGCCTTCGGGAGCCTTTGGAAAGACCAATCCCAGCGGGACCGGGGCTCTGTACACTCATAAAATAAGTAGAAAACCGAGTCTTGCAGGTGAGTGGTCACAGAACCGTAGAACCGATCAGGTTGGAAAAAAACTCCAATGATCGAGTCCAGACTGTGACCCAAGGTCACCCGGGCCCTGGCGCACTGTGCCACCTCCAGTCTGTCCTTAAAGACCTCCAGGGTCGGCCACTCCACCGCATCCCTGGGCAGCCCATTCCATATCTAATCGCCCTTTCAGTGAATAAATTCATCTTCATGTCCAACTTGAATCTTCCCTGGCGCAGCTCGAGTCTTTGTGCTCTTGTTCTTCCTGGCCCCGCAGGGCCTGCCTGTGCTTTCGCGAGGATACARAGGTAAAAGCATCCTGGCATGGGAAAGGAGCTGCTGGATCGTGGTGTGCAGGCTGAATCCATCGGTTCTTGGATMTGCACGCTGGTTTCAGTTTGTTAAACCTGTGGCATTTCCAGAAAATACCCGAGTGCACTGATCATCAAGGATGGCACCTCAGGCTCCACACTCAMAAACACACTGTTTATCATTGGCATATCAGTATTCTGCATATCCTCATTTTTATTAGCCAATTAAATAGACCTGAACACACAGAATTGGAAGCAATTACATTTGCTCAGGCTGAAAATGTGGCTGCATTACTATGCTATTACGAATACTATAGCAGGCATGTATATACATATTCAACAGCTCTGCTCTCCCAACGTGTAAATGGTGTTGTTATTACCATGTTAACATTTATGCTGAAACTATAATAAACTTGAATTAAAAATATATTGTGAAGATATTTATCATCTTGTCAAAAAAACCCCAAACAAAACAGTAGCCAAGAAGGGTTTTCTGGCAGGAATTTGGAGACTTCAATTCTTGTATTTGAAAAATTAAAAATTAGAAGACGACTGTAATAGAACAGCTAAGGGAAGCAATATAAACTAGAAAAAATAAAAAAGAAAGATGAAAAAAGGCTCCAAAAAGTGGCATCTACCAAACTAGAGCCAGAACCATTGGTGTACTCTTTTCTTAAGGTAGTTTCTGGAATTTGCATTCAATTGGTAGGTAAGGAAGAATGATTCCAAGGTGTTTGGCAACAGGTAACCAAAAACCCAACTGCCTCCTCAATTCCGTCCTTTGGCTTGAAGACACATGGATGAGCCCAGCACTTGATTTTTTTAATGAGAAGGAAAATAATGAGAAGAAAACTATCAGGTTCCATTCTTGCCAACTGAACCATTTTGAAAGTACAGATGAGGCAACAAGATTGTCTCATAAATAATTTTTTTAAATGCAGCCGCAAGGATTAAAAAAATGCATAAATAATTAAAATTGTCATGATCATGGAGCTCCAAGTAGTCAATCTTTAAAGACAAGAACAAACTGTCATGAGACTCATGGTAGAACTACARGAGTTTGCAGCAGTGTATGCTGAGCATAGAGTCAGCCATCAGATATAGATACTTTTTCGGACTGACATTGGCTTTCTTTCTTGAAACAATGCARGGAATCACTGAGTATCTCTGGACCTGTCTGGTCGTTAYGGTAAAACTGAATAAAAAAAAAWAAAATTCTTCTTTGTCTTCTATGCTGAAATGCTTCAAAGTCATGGGCTGCACTCATACAYAATATTATATTGTTACTCATATATATCATCAAGACATCTTTCAGAGGGAAAGTTTAATTCCATTTAGTGAAACCATTTTTATCTTTTCCTTCTTTGACAGATAACTAACATTCCTCAAGCAATTCYGGGGCATTAATTTGTATATGGCTGAGGCCTTTGGGAAAACAAACTGGCAATCTTCCAAGTTGCACCCCTATTTGGTGTAGAAATAATGCTAATGTCAATCAGAAAAGAAATAAAAAGCTGGCAAGTGTGACATAAATAAAAGCATAGTATATGTRGAAGGAAAGACTCAAATCATAAGCCAAGGAAGAACTGTCTGAATGATGAATARTTAAAACATACATGTGGTTGTATTTGCAATCAATTGCAAATACAGCTTGAGGTGCTGTCCATATTGCATGAAGCATCACTGAAAATAACAAAAAGCTTGTACTTAACCTAAATTATTTACAGTGTGAGTTGAGATACCAGGGTCTTACAGCAAACTGTGTACAAGACTGATATGCTTAATAATGATGAGGAAATAAATGTACACAGAAAAAAAGCTTTCAAAGAGCAGAGATTTTATAGGGAAATAAAATCTCAAATAAAGTAAAAGAATGCTCTTTTGTTGCAGGAGAGAAAGAAAGCAAAGAAAAGGAAGCTAATAAAGGCRAGAGAAGACACCAATCAATCCAGTTTCATCAGAAAACAGGTCTTTTCCAGTACCTACCCAGGAAAACCAAGGCATGTTCATGTTCAATGTAAGTTCTGAAAGTGAAATATAATGAGGAGATTAAGATGGATATATTATGGACCTTAGAATTGTAGTGCAATTGTAAAATAAGGTTTCAAAATAATCGACACCAGATTTACAGTGTCTTAGTCCAAGATAYGCTTTAGTTCAATCATACATAATGAAAGATACAAGAGGACTTGCTGCATGGGAGACTCATGGTCTCAGTGGTTGACAAAGCCTGTTATCACATCTTGATATACTGAGGTCTTCGAAATTCATGTGTCTGTAAACCATGAATTTCTTCTTTGCATTATGCAAATATAGAGGGGGAAAAATAACTTAGCTTTGGTCTGGCTGCTCACATTTAAGTGAAGCATCTTATGCAAAGCACATTAAATGCTCCTCACCTTGAGAAGTTTTTACCAGGACGATATCATAAGGGTATTGAGTTAGGGCTTGTAGGAGACATCACTAAAACTCGAACTGTTTTGGCCTTTCTGAGCTGATGACGGTGTCACCTCCCGAGTGCTCAGACAGCCGGTGAGACGATGCTGGCGGCAGGTGAGGCAGCACTGGCGCAGAAAGCTTAAKTCCCACTAGATGGCGGCACGGGCACATAAAATAATTCGCTCTGCYCTGAACCTAAACGGGTCTTGCGATTTCTGTGCGATAAATCCGGGCACGTTTTGGGTTAAGGAATACTAGGGGAATCCCACTGATAYTTCATAGAATATTTGTCACAACTTGTCTTTTCAGGTAATTTTACTGACAAGAGTGATGTTTATTAGTGTAAGTKTGTGAAAATAGTAATTTTTACCTAAAGCACTATTTATGTATTGCTTTGCTAAACGTAAAATCTACTGTGACATCGAACTGATCTTTAAAACCGCCTAGACAACTTTCACAGTATTCAAGTTTAATGGCAGATCTAGAATCTGATGTGTTTAGGGGGAAAACAAACTCTAACAACAGATTAATTTCTCAAATATTCATTTTCATTCTAAATTAGAAAAAGAAAAGACGGAATAGAAGAACAGCAAATAAAATAKCTGAACAGAATTGTCTCTAATTCGAGTGTTTGTTCATATTTCCCATGATGAAGGTTTTGGAACTAGTACTAGCAGTGAGAGTATTGAGGCCAAGGGTCAATGAACTGGTCCCACAAAAACTAAATCCTGTAACTTTTATTGTTTTTGGAGAAAATTCACAGATAAGCAAGTTATAATATCTAGGAGACTTAAAAATAATATACTTGTGTTGCAAACAGCCAATACAGCTTTAACCACAAATTTCTGCTTAAAGCTTTAACTTCCATTTGAGCTGTACCAGATCATTTGGATAATCTCAGGGGGTCCTGTCTAAGATGAATGATTCTGTGATTCTTATTCAAAATTTTTTTGTTCTACTTTTTTTTTTCTTCACATCCACTTTTGATTGAGTTAGTGTAATCTATTGCCTTGCTCACATCTATGGTCTAACCTGATCTGAATTAAAGTTTTCAGCAGGCAAATTAAGTTGGCTCTACTGCTATAAAAACAATGCTATAGCCAGTGGTCTGCTAATCCTCCACATGATCCCACACAGAAATTATGGGAYTATGAAGTCTTCAGAATGTAAATATTTACCCAACTGTGCTAAATAGGATGAGAGAGAGGTCCTTTCCTAAGATCTGCAGTGAATCAATCACACCAATACCTCTAACGAGACACATTGGCACAGTAAGCTGGTTGTCTTCCACTGATAACAGAAATTCACAAATCCATTTTTCTCTTCCTATTGAATAGTTAAAAGTATTGAAGAAGTCACGTATTTCAATGCTGTGAGAAGGATGTAGGTACTTTTCTGAATCCATATTGAAACACATGAATATATTTCCTGTGTTGTCAGCATAAACTGATAAGCTTTTAAATTCTCATTTCTTGAGGATATGTGAGAAGACTGCAGTTTGCTTTCCATACATATTGACTATCAATTGCCATTAGATCCAGAACCATAACCTGCTCTTTGGTTTTCTTAGTAACTGAAAACACATGTTGTGGTACTGACTTCCCCTCAGATTCTTGGGTTTCTTAGACAGAGACTGCYTGAATATTAGGTAGTGTGGAAAGACATGGATGTTTCCTTTGACACAAGAAGTTTGCTCCAGTCTTCTACATTAGCTATACAAAAGCAGAGTGAGTGAGGAATAGCAAGACAGAACCAGGATACTGGTTCAGTAATCAGTTCTGGCTGCTGAGTGATGCTGGAAACAAAAAGGAAATCTTTTGTGATCACACTCGGAG